GAATAGCTGGGACTACAGGTACCTGCCACAACACCCGGCTATTTTTTGTTGCAGTTTGGCCGGGGCCGGGTTCAAACCGGCCACCCTTGGTATATAGGGCCAGCGCCCTACCCACTGAGCCACAGGCACTGCCCAAGAATTCATTCTTTAAGGGTCCTGTTCCCAGCTTCTCGTGAGCTGAGGAGAGCCAGTCCTGCAGCAGGTGGCCCTGGGAGGCAGAGGCCTAGCAGTGTGGGCCAGTGGTAGGAGCCAGGGGCCTCAGCTGGGGACACCTGCTTCTGGCAGGGCAGCCCCAGTATGGCCACTGGAGGCAGGGGCTGGGCAGGGCTGGCACAGGAAGCAACTCAATCAGGGAAGTCACTGACTTCTTGGGATTCTAAATCAACATGGAGGGCACCTGAGGTAACTGCAATGCCTGCTGCGGAGAGGAAAATCCCTAGTTTCAACAATACATTTGGGAAGAGCACAAAAGTGGGTCAGCTGGCAAAGGCCATTACTTTGGGAACCCCAAGTCCAGGCTGTTCCTGGGAGTTTAAGCTGCTCAAACTGTGTTGTGTTGAGGGCAGATGGAGACACGAGGACAGGCTAAAAAACATCAGAGGCTCCTAGACATGCCCTAAAACTCCCTGATATCACCCAGTGCTGACCCTGACTCATTTCCTTTCCACCTGTTACATCCCTGCAGCCTTCAGCTGCCCACAGCCTAACTGGGATCACTCTGACAAGCCTGTGCATACCCTGATAGAAAATGCTCAGGGGAAGGTACTCACTTTAGCATCAGCCCCCACTTTGGTGGCAGCAGATTAATGCAGGCCAGTATGCCTGGGCCACCTGGCTAGTGGAGGAGCTTGTGTGCTCCCTCAGCAGACAGAGGGCCAGAGCTGGGCCAGGGGGGCAGTGTGGACCTGTCCTCGGGGAGCTTATGATCTAGTGGCAAATAACAAAGACAACTGGCAATTACAGACAGCCAGGAGAGAAAACAAGAGGGCAAAAGGTCTCAGGAAGAAAACAGCCCCGCATATTAAAAGCACAGCAAGGCCAGCAAGGCAGGGTGGATGTCAGAGAGGAAGTCAGGAAGCTCGGAAGGCCAGAAGGGTTCACATTTATTATGAATCTAATAGGAAGGTTTTGAGGAGGGGCATGTAACAACCTGATTTATACTTTATATTTTTATTTCTTGAAACGGAGTTTCACTTTGTTGCCCTCAGTAGAGTGCTGTAGCATTGTAGCTCACAGCAACCTCAAACTCAAGTGATTCTCTTGCCTCAGCCTCCCAAGAAGCTGGGACTACAGATAACCACCACAACACCTGGCTATTGTTAGAAACGGGGCCTTGGGTGGTGCCTGTGGCTCAGTGAGTTGGGTGTCAGCCCCATATACCAAGGGTGGTGAGTTCAAATCCAACCCTGGCAAAACTGCAACAACAACAACAAAAAAAATAATA